AGAAAAAAAAGAATAGGGTATGCAATTCTAATCCTATTGCATACCAGCTTTATTAGGCATTCCTGGAGCCTACTTGCTTAATCAGGTACCAAATGATATCTGTCAGCTCTACTTCCATGTGGTATAATTCTTAAATTCCTCAGAAGAATTCGCCTTTATAGGGTAACCACTGTTTCTCTTTGTTCGTGGGGGAATTGCTGAATTGATGAGGTATGTCTGCTTTTGTAAATACCTAGAAGCATTGCTGAAGAAAAAGATAGGGCTTGCATATTAGTTGTGCCTTATACCCAAAGACCCATTTTTCATAGCTTTGCTGCTGAAGTGTTTTTGCAAAAGGGTAAAAATGTACTACGTTATAATTAGTTTTTTCTTTGCCATTTTCCTCTAAGAGTTGATTCAGTTCTTCTGTTGTGCTCCAAGTTCATATTCTTTTCTTTTTTTTTTTTTACAAGGAGGAAGGCAATGCCACAAATTGACAAAAAAACAGTGGCCAGGATCAAAAAAGTTTGTTCTATTTTGAAATATATTTCCAGATCTTGGGATGTTTCCCATTTTTAGAATAGGGAGGATGAAATTTCTTGTGGTTAGGACACTCATTCGGACCCAGGAGGGTGATCCGCAGAAATAAAGTTAAGCATTTATGTTCCTTGCATAGACAATGGAGGGTTGGGAACCTGCCCATCCCTCTCTGAAGATATAGAACAGTTGGATTAGCTAATAGAAGCTGAATTTCTCCAGGGACAAAGCCTTTTATTCTGGGATTCTACAGGCATACAAGCCCATTGTCCCACTTTGGGTTCAGACAGAAGTGCAGCTCCTTGCTGTAACAGAGAATGCTTTGCAGGAAGTGTCAGGAGTTACAATGATCCGCTGGAACAAGGCGAAGTTCATGAGGAAGGGGAACCTAGATGCTGGTGGCAATGCTCCCCCCCCCGCCAGTCTTCCAGCTGTTTTCAGGATGGGAGGGGGGCAAGGGAGCAGAGGGGGTTCATTCTAGGGGTTCCCTAGCCAGCACTGGAGGGTGGGGTGGGTGAACTGGAGCCCTCCCATCTCCATGGGGCGTGGGGGGGGGTCCAATACACCCACTCCACTCCACTCCACTCCCCAGTGGCAGCTGAAAAAAACCCAGACCAAACTCCCTCTGCTCCTATTCTCCTCTCCCATTCTGAAAACAGCTCAAGGCTGGAAGGCAGTGCAGACACAAGTTAGAGAAGACACTTTGTTTTGAAATGTCTTCATCTGACCCTTCATGCAATGAGGGTTCAGATTTTCACCCAACCAGCCATTTTTAAGTGGTCTTCAGCCATTTACTTGTATTTGGTCACAGCTATAGGCTGCTTTCTGTGGCCAAATCAGGCAAAAATTGTCACTTCTGTCTGTGCCCTTCGTGTACCTTTGTAGTACCCAAGACAATGCTTTTCCCTGGAACAATAGGGCTAATCCAAGTTAGGGTTAATCCAAGTTAAAATGGGGCTAATTGAAGTTAACTCTCATTTAAGATGCATGTGGAAAGGTTCTGATTAATCAGAATCCACTCAAACGAGGCCTTTGTTTTTCAGCCTGAGTATAAGTATCTCACTGTGGTGGTTAGAGCACTCATCCAGGACTCCTCAACCTACACAAGTGCCCCCACCAGTGCTTTATGCCATGATGCTCTCTTTTGCTCACTCTCTTTCCGGTACTATGAAGCTTGCATTCCTATCTGCCTAGTGCCCTAATTTCACAAGGAGTGGTGGAAAGCTTCCCTACCCAGGCTATTCTGCAGTACGATGGTGAGGACCTGCTTCTGAGAGGTGAGTATATAGACTTCAATCCCCTCAAGACTCCCTCACTTTAAACTTCAGCAAAGCAAATTTAAATTAAATCTGCAAAAAATGTCCTAAAAATGCCAGTAGGAAAATTGAACAGTCTGCTTAAGGAAGCTGTGGTATCGCCTTTATTAGAGGTTTCCAAGGCTGGAGAGGTATGTGTATGAGACAGGAAAATTGAATCTTGTATCTGTGCAGGGGCGTATGACTAAATGACTCCTGAGGTCCCGTCCAGCCCTATAATTATATGATTATAACTCTGGCCAGTGGGCTATTGTAAAAAATTGTGCACCTCCACCCTTCCCCTCCTTCCAAATGCTTTCTTTTTGTTGGCTATGCTCTTGAGTGAAAGGGACCATGACAGAATTAAGGCACCTTGCTAGCCAGGGCAGACCACTTTTTTTTCATGTGTGGAGCCTACCTTAAGGCCAGGTACAGACATTACACATAACTGGAATAAGTGACTGGAAACTAGTCTAAACCTGTAACAGAACAGAAGTTCAGTGCACACAGACTGGTTTAAAAATGGCAGAACACAGTCTAAGATAGACCAGGATCAATTAGGTATCAGACTGAACTGGTTTAGGTTAGATTGACCTATCAAACTTCTGTACCAGATCTCCTTCTAATTCAATTTAGGTCTTTTCCTCCAGCATCCCAGGCTGGCTTGCAACCCCCTCCCCAGGTCCCCCTACTTGCAGGGAAGTGCACTGGAACTTGGCTCACGCCTAGCTCCTTCAGTCAAATGCTCAGTGGGTCCCACCCCTGAGCTCTCTATCTGTCAGCCACAGGCAGGATAATGGGAGGAAGGGAGTGGGGCTCACAAGCTGCTGGGTGGAGGTGATGCTGAGAGCACACACCACATTCTTGCCTGGGGATCTGGTCCACGGGGAGGCAGGAGGCAGCCATGCTCTTGCACTTGAAGGGGCAGTGGCTTCTGCTAGGAACTTGGTGCTGACTTTGGGGCAGGGGAAGGAAAATCCTTTGAGTCTTTCCCAGGTCTGCTTCGGTGTACAGTCCCAAAGCTAGGATGCATCCAGGACAGGGGAAGGACAATCTGTGCCCCACTGACCCAGGCCAGGAATGCGGGGTGTGCCATTGACAGTGTTGCAGCACTCTAGGATGAACATATGCACATGCAGCACATGTGGTTTGGGGCACTGCAAACCACACATGAATACTCATGGGGACATGCCCAGAGATTTTAAATAGCAATATGTAGTGTTAAAGGCATTCTGATCAGTTGTGATCTTTTTTCTTTGCAACAGAAAAAAAAATCTATTATTTTTCCGTGGCCAAAAAACGAGTGAAAACTAAAAGCTGACATTTTCATAGGGCCACCTTGAGTCTAATGAGGGAGCTTTGAGTCTAAAAAGATTGATAACCATTGGCTGAGACTTCAGTTGGGTAATCCTTATGGATTTTAGTGGGAGTAGGAGGGCTAAACCACCACTTGGCATATAACCTTATATTCCTAGAGCTCTGTATGCACTAGGTAACACAAACAACAGAACAAAGAAAATCCTAAGTAAGTTTGATTTACCTGTACCACTACTGTTCTTTACCGTGGCTAAAACTGCAGTGTGTTTGTGCAGCTAACTAAGAGGTTAGAGATCAGATCCAGAATTCAAGAATCTGGAATCAGAAATCTCTGAGTATAGTGCAAACATGACGTCTGCAGTGTCCAGAGCTGTTCTTCTATTGAAGAACATGTGCTGCTTAAATGGCAGCTGCATGGGCTGGTGTTAAAATCTGGTGCTTGGTATAGTGCTGAGAACATACTGTGGACTCTGAGTGAGCAGACGGCAAACAAACAAAATATGACTGAACAGGCCAAATGAATTTAGGATACTGTTCAATCATCTAAGTCCACATGCTATAGCTCTGTCAGTCCAAAGTAAACTCTTTTCACATCTTGTTTTGGAAGCTATTGAGGACTGTGTCAAGGAATTAGTAAGGCAATCTTATGGTTGAAGGATAACTGTGTTATCATTTGCAAGATGTACATGCACTGGGACAGGCTGGGGGCTGACTGGCTGGGCACCAGCTCTGCAGAAAAGGACCTGGAGTTTACAGTGGGCAATAAGCTGAATATGAGCCAGCAGTGTGCCCTTGTTGCCAGAAGGCTAATGGGATACTGGGCTGTATTGGTAGGTGTGTTGCCAGTAGGTCAAGAAAAGTTATTATTTCCCTCTATTCAGCAATGGTGAGGCCACATATGGAGTACTGTGTTCAGTGTTGCTCCCTCCCCCCCCCCCCCCCC